GTTTTTACTCGCCTATAAGAATTTTTATACAAAGTTATATAGAGGTATATACAGAAGGTATTTATGTCCCACAAGAATCGTTCCTGGTGAAATTGCTTTTTTGTATTTTTTCCTATACTTGCTTCTTCGTACAGTTCAAAATTACGACTTGGATTTCATTTCCAACGTCCCGTGATTTGATAATTTTTTGCGAAGCAGGTAATAAAGACCATGAAGACGTCCTGGACATAAAAAGTGCGTGTCGTCATTATTTACAGTTAGTATCTCTCTTTGATATTTGAGGGTGAACGATTTCTCCGATAATACGCTCTACAAAAGGGGAAGACGATCGTGTACGATGACTTACTTTTATTGCCTACGAGATAGTGTCACGGAAATGGACTGTTCCTTTTTATTAACAGCTTTATAAGCAAAAAAAAAGGAATCAATTTGCCCATTCGTTTATATTAACCGTAATGGATTTTGATTTATACTATTGAACTCTGGATCTTCACAGGTTGTCTTAATCATGACAACCCCTGAAACTATACAGTTGTCATCATCATTATCATAGATAGGATCGTCAGACTGATTGGACACGCATCTCCACTCTTTCCTATCCTGAACTATTCTTCAATTGTAATCTATGTTTGTGATCTTCAACTGCTATTTTGCACTTTACTCTCCCCGTATGTTTCTGGCAAAACGAGTACCAAACAGAACGAAGTGTACTGAGTAATCCTCATGTACTAATAATGACGATTACTAACCACTATATGTCTCTTAAAAATATAAAAAAAAAATTAAATAGAACAAGTTGGACGTCATAAAACAGTAGGATTCCCTAGCCAAAGACTGTCATCAAAATGTGGACTTTCCTATTTTTTAGACAGTTTCATTTAAAACTGGCAGAAGAAAAGGCAGTAAAGTTATGGAATGCACAAAGGTCTGCACTCAGAGAGGACACCTTCCAGCCGAATGTTTTCGCTTTGGCTCGCATAACAATGAAACTACTTAAAAGAGAGTATTGGGTTTTTGGCAAATTACAGAAAAGTAAAGAAGCTACTAACGAGTTGTCAAGGATTCCAGAGAGTCAGTAAAACTGTGAATTTTTACCCACTGATTGTAAGTTCATCTTCATTATCATCATAGGGTCGTCTGTCCTAGGACTAGGTGGACACGCACCACAATTATTTCCTATCCCGACCCAATCTTCGCATTTCCTTAAAGCTAGGTAAAATATCCCACATCCTTAACTATTTGTGAACAATAATCTAACCTAGGTCCTCCTAACTCCTTTTTCTGCTTCTGTCTCCAACTAGCTCTTCATACCGAAAAGATGTCCTACCAATCGTCATCATCATCATAAGGTCTTTCCTATTTTGAGCCACCAATCGTGCTCGTCTATTTTTTATTAACTTCCATGGAATCCTCTGTTCTCCTATTCTTTCTAATATCTCTTCTTTTCTAACCTTCTCTATCCACGGTTTCTCATCATTCAAATATAATACAAAATTTGAACGCCTGTAACCTTTTCTTTTCCACCGCGCCCGAAGCCGACGTCTATGTTTTGCGCCATGCTCCAGACACATACCATAGAATTAACAAAAAAAATACATAGTAAGAAAAATAAACTGACAAATGATAAATATTCGGTCATTGAACAATGTCGTGTAATAAAGCTGCGATCTGGGCTCGTTTAGGTTTCGTTACATGAGTTTGTTTGTTGTACGTCGTTAGTTTAATTAATGGAAATTCCTGAAAGAAGACATTTGATTGCCACTACGGCACACTGCTTAACACGAATGCTCGAATAGCAGCCTTAGAAATTTTCACCGCTAATCACTTTGTTTTACATTTTATCGACCCGCTTTTTGCTATATAATTGAATCGAGAAATTATTAAGCAAAGGATTTAGAGATGTTAAGTACCGACGCATGCCGAAAAAATGCGAAATTTACCCAAAAAGTGATTTACTAATGAATAATTACGGTCTCGTGACATTATTCTGTAATTACAAGACTCTTTTTCTTCACAAAGCAGAGTTTCTTCTTATAATTAGTTTCATTCCTGTGACATTTTGGGCAGTCGCATAGTGGAGAACATCCTGAAGTTCTTTATCGAAAATTCGCATCCCGTTACCGTAACGAACTGGTTATTTCCATGTCAAAGAGAAGATTCGCCCGAAAATAATCCTTAGCTCGAAATTTCAACTGATTAAAACTATTTTGCACTAACAACATCATTACGTATGTATCTGTACCGTTTTACCTTATATTGCGGATGTTTGTTTTTTCCTGATTTGCTCACCTATCGGAAACCCAATGTAACCTAACAAGAATTTTTTTTTTAGTAAAGTTGGCGAGTAAAATAATATACAAGAGAAGTTGCACGCGCAAGTTAACTCTAAATGTGACAGAACGAAGTTAGGAGCATTACGAGTTAGCGAGCACGTGGCTGTGGTACAAGCCGCTGTTCGATAACTGGCGCAAATTTGCACTCCCTTCAATAGAGGCAACACAGCACGCCGACTATTTAAATATGGAATCGGAAACACTGTTTAAAAAAATACATAATTGTATAAGTATACCACATAATAAGCAAATATGTAATTGGAAGGTATAACTCCTATGGCGCGTTTATAAGTAATAGATACACTATTCCTCTATGGTTCCATCTATTTTCGAATCCGACTAAAGTATACACTTTGTCTGATCAGTATTCCGGAATAATTAAGGTAACTTCTGGAGGCAACCTAGAGTGCATCTCGTGATAGCGCCACAACGTAGAGAATGCACAAAAAGTACCCCAGTTAACGAGCCGACAATGATGGAGAACAGTTGTCAGTTGCTTCGTTACTTCAAGCGTCAAGTGACGAAACACTCATACCTACTTGTGACCTTCGCAACAGCTGGTACACAGACAGGTTATTTGTACGTGTGGTGATTAATAGTAGTCTGTGCTTCGTAGTTACTATTCAATTGACAAAGTTATTGCTAATATCACAAAATACAAAAATAAGTTGCATGCTCTGGCGGCATGACGCGCATAATTCCGGAACAATTTATCTTCTTCTCCCTAATTTTTTTCGGAATACTGATCAGATTTAGTGCATAAAGAGCCCTTTTAAAAGTCGCCATCTAATACAGTGATGATTTAATAATCATTTTTGTAAAAAGCCGAGCCATACAGCGTGGTTACAAGTAGAAGAGGTTGAACATTGTTTAAATTATGACTTTGTAAGCCGAAGCTGTAGTCATTAAATCTGTTGGAGCTCGAAATCCCTCTTCCAGTAAATAACTTGATATCCCAAATTTATAAAAAAAAAACGATGTTCCACTGTCAGGTAATTTTCAGAACTAGGTGACACCATCGTCGAAAAGTTTAAAGGTAATTCTTATCAAAAATATTGAGTGGTATAATCAAATTTAATCCTCCGGTCAATTTCCTTTTTATTCATCTGGCGTCATAATACGAAGCAATTACAACAATAGCAGGGTCGGATTATGAGATTCGTTGAAAATTTTACGGCCCAATTCCGAAAAGGCTAATTTAAACGTTAATTGTCGAGATTAAAAAGGTCGAGTATAATTGGAGCTCGTGTACGTCAATCCCCAGCCGCAACGCGAGACTGGGGGAGGCTGAGTAAATGAGAATAGTGGGGGGTCTTTTAGACCCGTGCCATGACGGCGGTCTATTAATGAGAGTCCGGCAATTCCAGCGGTCGTAACACATCGTCTGCAAATTATTAAGGGTAGGTACACATCGCTGACCGTTCAATAGAAAGTGGAAACTGAGAGGGATTGAAACGGTAACCACTGCCAACTAATGCGTCCAGTAGTAATACTAGGTGGTGGTGATTTTACGTCTACTATTACCGATATTATTTATCCCGAAATTGGCGCAGGACGTCCTTATGCTTTGCGACGGGCACATCTGCTCGACTGGGATTTGGACGCTGTGCCAGAATGCTGGATACTTGGAGCAGACGCTATTAATCGTTCTACTTCCCTAATGATGTTCTTTTGTATAAATAAAGATGCCTATGATAGTTTTGATCACTTTCTAACCGGTTTGTTAATATTTCTAATTATTTTGGAATTCTTCCGATACTGGAGGCTGAAATAAAATGAGCTGTGCAACAATGATAAATATTTTTTTCGAAAATATCACAATTTTGAGGTTACAATTACGAACATTTAGGTTAGAAACTTTTTTGTTGTAGAAAAGCAATGCAGGTGATACGATTTCAAATCTGTCGTGTACACGCGCTCATTTAATCTCTTTTTAAAACATGTCCCGCTTCAAGAATTCTTTTTCCTTTCTCACAAAATTCCTATGGCTAAGCTCTATTCTGCCCTAAGAAAAAATCTGATTGATACTAATCGCATTAAACTAACTAGTAACTGATCAAAAATACATACATAGTATCAAACAAAACAGCGTAGGTACTTGCTACCGCCATGTTTTTTAAGCTCCACCCATCTGACAGATTTACACCATTACGGCGAAAATATGAACAGTAATTTAAACGTGACTCATTCACAAGAATGCACGAATTTACAATTAAAAATTTTTATTATTTGCAAGTAGAATTAGCTAATTCATCTATTGACTTATAATAAAGATGATTAGTAAGGTTATGTTAAATAGGATTTATGTATGGTATAACCAGCATTAGCCTACGAAAGTTTAAATACAAGTTTAGAGGAGCCCAGCAGTTAGAAGAAAAAGAAATTGCAATTGGGCCGTATAATTACTCACCACTCCCGCGCGATTCAAATGGTTACAGTGTGTATTTTACCTGAAAGAAAAAGAAGAAAAAATAAATATATAGTATATTCAACAAAATTGTTAAAATTTGTTTAATAGCCTCGTCCAATTAAAATATTATATCTGACACCAGTTATTCTGATTGGTTTAATAATAAATTCTAATTATTTTTGATATACGACCTCCCCTTCCCCCGGAAAGTTAGGTTATATCTGTTTTTAATTAGAAAAGTAGTTCTACACTATTAATATCAATATCATTGTCAAATTAATTATGTCATTTTGACAATATAAAAAGGTAGTGGTACTAGTGTTAGCTAGATACTACTTCCAGCTCTGCTCTTTTTGGTAATTTTATCAAAATTTAAAATAAATCTTAAAAATAAATAAACAAAATGACGGCATTTCTAAAAAGATTAGTGAGTCAAGCACTTTCTAATCTTAGAAAGGAAGTCAGACCGACTAACAATATAAAAAAATTCGCAACAGAAGCAACTATAAAAACTAAACCATATAAACTGCACAGATTGGACACTTCACCTCTTACAGAGGTCAAAGTTACCAAAGAAGAGGCGAAAGATTATTACAAAAAAATGTTCATTCTAAGAAGCCTTGAAAATGCCACATTCACCCTGGCAAAAGCCAACCTAATTAGAGGCTTCTGTCACATATATTCGGGGGAAGAAGCAGCGGCTGTTGGGGCTTATGTGGTCATGACCCCCGAAGATCTCGTAGCATCCCCATATCGAATTCATGGATGGGCGTATCTTATGGGCAACAGCGTGCTGGGGGTCCTTGCCGAGATGACGGCAAGAACATCGGCATGCCAAAGAGGCAAGGGTGGATCAATGCACATGTATCACGATCGATTCTTTGGAGGTTTCGGTATCGTGGGGTCGTCCGTACCCGTGGGTACAGGTCTTGCATTTGCCCTGAAATATAAGGGAGTGAAGGGTGTAGGGTGGGCAATTTACGGAGATGGGGCAGCCAATCAAGGACAAGTTTTCGAGGCGTTCAACTTGGCCAAATTGTGGAATTTACCGTGTCTCTTCTATTTAGAAAACAACGGCTACGGTTACAGCACTTCTATAGAAAGGGCTGCAGCGAATATTGACTTTTACACCCGTGGCGACTTGATTCCTGGAATATGGGTGGACGGCATGGACGTGATAAGTGTTAGAGAAGCCATAAAGTTTGCCAGGGAGTTCTGCCTAGAGGGCAACGGTCCCATTGTCGTGGAAGCAGCTACTTACAGGTACCACGGGCACTCCATTTCAGACCCTGGCACCACTTATCGTACAAGGGAGGAGATACAGGCGGTAAGACAGCAACGAGACCCTATAACCACCTTCAAAGCGCTGATATTAGAGAAAGGGTTACTTATTGAAGAAGAAATTAAGAGTATTGAAACCGAAGTTAAAACTGATGTGAATGAAGCATCCGAGAGAGCCGTTAAGGATCCAATAATAAATGCATCAGAACTCACTACCGACATCTACTCCGAATGTTTGGAACCGCACATAAGAAACATCACGCCGTTTAATCCTCTTCAACACAAAAGATTAGGAAGAGCCATCAATCTTAAGTAAATTATCCCATAATTCATGGAGTCTTTTCCTGTTTATTAAGGGTTTTTTCGATTTGTGACAGTTCAACTACTATCTCCTTATGAAGATATCCATTTGCAGAGTGTCTACAACTTCTCCTGAGTCATTGAAGGTTACTAACAAAATTGTATAACGGTTTACTGATAAAAAGTGAAAAATAAATATGCATCATATACGTATATGTTTAGTAATCTAGGGAGGAACAGAATCACCTCGGTGTCTATTTATCAATCTACAGGTCTGACACAAACGTTTTTCTTTCAGAGACTATTTAACACAAACGGTTTACATCAAGAAGAATTTAAGTAACAGGTCAAATAAAATCGCTAACAGCAAACGGTGGAATTTGCCTTTGGGGATTAGTTTTGAGGGGTCCACAACAAAAGAAACAACACTCACTTCACGCTTCATGAGTGTTGTCTTTTCGTAGCCTTATGAGTCTATCTCGAAGAGTAAAATGCAGGGTTAAAGTGTACCTAGAGCCTAATAGAAATCCCCCGAATTCCTACTATTCCAGAAATATATTTTTAAGTTGAGGAATTAAGGAAATTTATTTAGAAAAGCGACTGTTTATTCGGAATCATGAGGATAGGTTATTTCTACTACAAGTATTTCACCAAAAATTGAATTTGATTCTCTTTTTTATACTATCCAAAACATGTCAATTAGGCACAATATTACCTCGGTCATGCTTTTGCTATCTACTTTTATTGTGTTCTTTTAATAATAATAATCTGTGACATTTTAATAATGCTCATAAGCTCAGTAATAATAATAATCCCTTAAAATTCTGGAAGATTTCTACAAACTATTGTGGAATTCCAAGTTTTTCAGAAGAAGGGGGTAAAATCCCAATACTTCCTTTAGAATTANACATATATATATATATTAAGATTCTATGCAAAAGAAAAGTAATTATTTATAGATTATAGAAGCTAATTATCAGGATACCGTGGATATAGAAGGTTAGAAATGAAGTGGTATTAGAAAGAATAGAACAGAGGACTCTATGAAAGTCAATAAGAAATAGGCGACATAGGTTAGTAGGACACCTTCTCAGGCATGAAGGTCTAGTCAGAGACACACTAGGGGCAGAAACGGAAGTTAAGAGAGGTAGAAGTAGACCTAAATTAGATTACTGTTCGCAAATAGTTAAGGATGTGGGATGTCCTATTTTTGGGGAAATGTGAAGATTAGCTCGGGATGGGAAGGAGTGGAGGTGCGTGTCCAACCAGTCTTAAGACTGTCAACCTTATGATGATAATGATGATATAGAGCTATTACCATGAAAAGGATTTAAATCTGTTGCAGGGACACGGAATAGACTTAAGAAGATGTTAGACCAAAATCAGGTCTTAGTAAAGACTTCTTCCCAATTTCAAAATCTTTGTAGATGATCCAATTTAGTTTATTTGTGTCAAAAAGTACTAAAGTGGTAAAAAATAATGTGTGAAAGTAACGTGCAGCCGACCAGGGCGTATCGCCCCCCCCTCCTTCTCTATTTACGCCACTGGGTAGTGCGCCTTTTATCCTAAAAATCCGCAGATAAATTATTCAGGATTCGACGGATAGAAATAAAAAGGACAAGACCTACGTTCACTGGCTTTTATTAAAATTTTAAGGGCGAAAAAAGCAAACGAAAGACAAGCTGCATAATACCTAACCGCTTTTTATAGGAAGCTTTCTCCAAAATTAAATTCTTTAGCAGATTTAACGTCGACCCATTACGTGAGTGTCTTTTTTAAACACGTCCTTTTCCGCATAATAATTAGACAATGGAGTTTAACTCAAACAACTACATGGAACTGTCAAATATACGACATTTTAATGGTAGGCATCACCACGCACAACGAGCGCAATATTGAAATAAGATGCTTCGAATTTTTGTACCGTTCATTTGAGGTTGTCTGTAGCGGGTAAAATTAAATTAAAAAATTAATTCACCAATGCATTTAATTAACATTACAAAAGTTCAAAGTATCTGATTAATAATGATGATTATACATTAGTACGACAATTCTGCGACCTGTAGTCTTAGGTATGTATTGGGTGTCTTCCGAAACATAACTGTAGCGAGCACGAGTGTGTTTGTGTGCGATAAGGCACGTGTGTGTGTGAACGGCTTATCAATTCACCGACTAGCCGCGGGCGCCTTTCTTCATGTGCGCCGTATTTGTAAATGTGTGTGTCGTACTTGTGTTCTGAGAAAGCAATTAAACAGTTCAAAGAAAAACTAAACGATTCGGATGTTTCTAGACGGTTCCAGAAAGGAAACAAAAGAGTATTTAAAGGAAGAGACGATCGCCGAGAGAGCAGAAATAAATTGACCGTTGCCAAAGTGAATCGAGAAAAGAATTGACAGTGATAGCAGTAAAATAAATAGCGCAGTGAATAGTGATATATCAACAGTAGTGTAATTAAATAAAATAATTCATAACCTAAGTAGTAATAATGTGTTTTTAAGTTCTTTAACAATTAGTGTAAATAAATAGTTTTTGTCGTTATCAGTCTTAGAAGTTAATTTTGTTAAACCCACGAACATTACATAACCTAGGATACTGGTCAGTGCTGATGACGTCATGAATTGACGCCATACTATTGATTCGTTCCGAAATATACTGGCAGGTGCGTTGACGTCAAATTGACGCCATATTGAGAATAGTGTTTGTGCTCGGTTACAACAATTTTTCTCTACAAATCACTTAAGTTTCTTACAATAAAAAATTCTTCAAAGTCTGATACACACACGTCCGTTTCGTATACTACTACGTAACACTTGTCTTACCAGTACAATATGGTGGCACACCAGTACAATATGGCGTCGATTCATGACATCATCAGAACTGGCCAATATGTTGCGTATTTTGGTTTGCCTTTTTCAATACGAAGTTTGTCACGTATTAGTTTGTTCAATAGAATTTTAATTAAAAAAAGATGCTTCGATTAGTATTTTTCCTATGTATTACTGTGTAAATTAATAAAAAAAAGAGGTTTAATGTTTATATTTAATGGTTGCTGAAATTATTATGCTATTGTTCTGGGCCATGTTGTTCTTGCGATTCCCTGGGATATATGTTTACCGTCCTATATCCTAAGTTCTACAACGAAGAACCTCGTTTACGGAAGCTCAAATTCGGGGATTTACTGGATAATACCTCATTACCATTACTGCGAGCGCTGCAAGTTTAGCCTACTAGATACTACTTCTTGTTAGTGCTGCCGCGGCTTCCAACGGGCGCTTCGCGTCGCGTCGCGTCACGAAAGCTTCTTGAATACGGGCGGTGGGTGAATTTGAGTAATCAGCAAGCGAGGCTAACATGAAATGCCGTCTATATAACATCCAGAGCCACGCAAGTCATAAATATAGCACACACAGCCAGACGTGTTTGTATATGTGTAGCAATCCGTCTATTCAGAGGAGATTCTTCTGGGGGACTACGTAAGCAATAAAGTTTTCCAATTTCGCGCTAATGAAATAAAAAAATTTCGAAACATAGCCTTAACTAATGTGACGTAATTTTAATCGTAAAGAGCAAGCGCCATCTAATGATGCAAAATAAAATTAAAAAAATATAGGTATACTTCATTTACTTTCTCTAGGGATGTGCCCCTTCCATGTCTTGGAAAAATCGTTGGTAGGGAGAAAAAAGCTCATTATACTCTCGACTCTTGTTCATTAAACATACTTCTTCATACACTACCTGTCAAAAGTTTTGTTCGATCATGAATAGTAGTGCGAGTCGAAAACAAGCGTTAAAGCCTTTAATATGTCTTCAAATATAAATAAACATCTCGTTGATATTTTCAGTAGTAATTGGTACCAATAACGGCACATTTGAGCGATGCAATTGTAGTGGATAAAATGGTCAATTTTTCCGTGCAGTACTGTACGGATTATACGCTCCTCACCGGTTAAGAGTTTGGCCGAGAGTTGTCTCCCTTCTTTTCTGGCCTAATGCTATTCTTTTCTACTTTGCGCCGGTCAGACTGAAGGCCACATCGCAACAGAAACTAAACGAAGTATAGGTATCTATATGTGTAGATAGAGAAGGAGACCTGAAAAGAAGTGGAAAACCTTACATCAGGCACGAAATTATTTAATCAGCATTCTTCAAATGTTAATCATCTAATTAGTTCCTGTCATCTTTATGAAAAACTTGCTTCCTTTTAATGTCGTTTCCAAGTACCCAATCAAAGGGTTCCCCTTGTTCTTTGCCCAAAGGGCACAATCAAAGCACTAAAGGCAACGAAATTAATTTTAAAAACGCGCCATCATTTTTAATTCCCATGAAAAGTGCCCGACTACGGAAAGAAGATGAAAGAATATTAAAAACAAAGGACGCAATAGAAGACTGTCATTCTTTCACGATACTCTAATCTCGTTATTAATGGATTTTTAATTTGAAATCCATTAACAACCCCGACTAAATGTCGCATTAGATGGAAGATTAAACCCTTTTAAATGAATACGAATCGTTGACCTCTCCGAAGTTTCCTGATAAACATCTATTCAGGAGTAGATACCAACCAAATCAATTCACAAAATAGTTGCGAATAACTAGTGAATTAATTTTTGAACCACCCTTACCCACTAGAGATAACCTCAAATTAATGAAATGAAGTGGCGACGCGACAACTTTTCCTCATTAATTTGAGCTTGTCTGTAGTGGGAAATTCACTAGTGCATTGAATTTAACCCATCAAAAAATTCAAAAGGTCTCATTATTAGGAATGATAACACATTAGTTCCATCATTCTGCAACCTACACTCTCATAGCGCTGCTGTCACCTCGTAGCTTAGTGGTAGAGTACTGGTGCGTAAAACCAGGGACCCGGGTTCGATTCCCGGCGAGGGAGTAACGACGGCAACAATTTTTCCTTCCTTTAAATTAATTTTAGGTTATCTGTACTGGGTAAGGTGGGTTCAAAAATTAATTCACCAATTCACTGAATTTAACCTTACAAAAAAATCAAATTCTCAGTCACGAATATATTCAAACTCTGTAAGCCACAGTGCTTAGATTTTACGAGAAAAAGATCCATGACCTTCTATTGACCGTTACTGACATTCTCCCTGGACACTTACTACCTCCGTGTCAAAATTGAAAATTATACAGGCTTGGATATGGGAGTATTTAGGGGATCATGTGCCAGGGTATTTGAAAGCAATAAAAA